CGTCGAGCCGCGCTTTTGGGGGGATGTAGTGAACTGGATATGGGTCGAGTTTGAATTCCGTGAAACCCAGCGGGCGCGCGAGGACGTAGAGGGCGCAGTGAGTTGAGGAGAGGTTTCTGAGCGCTTCTGGTGGCAGAAGGGCGCATATCTCTAGCCATAGCTCGTTTGGAAACTGAGAATCCATGGATGAAGGAGGCTGATGTGGTGGCGCGGTGACTCGGATCCGATGACGGGGATCTGCTTAGACGCCGAATGTTCGGGATTTGCCATTGATAATTCCATGAACAGAAAACCGAACATAAAATTTCCAAGACGGCTGTTACGTAGATATGCACATATACTACATTCCTCTTTGCATCGATTTTTGTTACTGCACTGCGCAAACACTTTTCTGGAGCGAAGGTCGCCCCCAATTCCTTGAGACGGTTGGATGCAATGTTCAAACGACCCTTCATGACCCGAAACCCAATGGCTTAAACATCATAGTCCCAACGAATTCGTACGCCGCCATGGTAGAAACTTCGAAGTCATCATCTGCTTTGCATAGGCCGGGTACCAGGGTTGCGCGCGGAATCACTTACCGCACTGGATTAATATCGGTCCATTGTTCTTAGGTGGAGAAAATTAATTCTCCGTGGCTAAGAGCCATAGTTTTAAATTGCTACAAGACGTTCCTTCGCTTCGCTCCGGCAAAAGCCACTGCAAGCTGATATTTATGATTTATTGGAGGTAAGGAGGATTTCTGGGCATTCAAAATACTATTGCATTCATCAAAGCGATCTACAGTACGTGAAAATAACATGACGGGAGAATAGATTTAAGGTACAAACAGACCTCGAAATTTGGAAAAATACACCTCACGCCGGCGCAGTTGAATGGAGTATGGATAGTAACAGTTAGTGCGAGCATGAGTGACACGCCGAGGCAGAGGTAACGAGCAATTGCGGCGAACTGTCATGATGGGATATTCAAGCAGAAAATCTATGTATCTATGTATCTGATCCATGAACCTGGGCCCAGGTTCATGGATCAGATGATAGGCCAAGAATAATGTCTCGGACTTCGCTGACGGTATGTTGATTACCAATCGCTGACATAATCGACATCAACGCACCGTACAGACTGAACAGCACCATTTGAGGTTGGGTCGCGCGCAAGATCAAGTCACCAAACTTCTCCATCTTCATACAGGCTTGGAAAGGCAGTTGCAATTCACTGCCCTTGATGACGCTGTAAGTGGACCTCGAGGGGACCTATGTACAACCCGAGATAATAGAGAGAGGATAACCACTTGAATACGTACCCAACATTCCCTTTCGAGTAAATATGATCTGCTTCGGTTGTTCCTCCACGGGCAGAGATCGGACCAAGGCTGCAACTTCTTCGGCAGTCTTCCACTTGGCAAGCTGACCAAGACGCTTTTGGCCAGTCCATACACTGGTATGGATGATCTTGAAAAACAGTTGCCCAGAGCGAGGGTTAAAGATGAAGATGGTGCCGTCTGCAGGAGACAATCAGACGATGAATATTAATGATCAGAAACTTTGCACTTACTAATCGGTTTGGTTGCCAATTCCTTCGAATGTCTTGTGGATTATGACATGGTAGACGTTCGTGTCATCGACGAACCCCTACGCAACCAGTGTTGCAGTTAAGGGCCTTAATAAGGGTACCTGCTGAAGCTAAGGCCTTAACACATATTAAGGGTTTATTAAGGGTGTGATTTTAAGGGTTAAGTTAAGCCTTAATTCCCAAAATGGTACAGACAGTAATTTACACTTCGAAGTCATCGCTAGAGCCCTCCAGGGCCCCCACGTTGGGTTCATCGTTGCTGTATTCAACTGCAAGGAGTTCCATGTAACAGGGCTTCCCCCGACACCACCCGAGGCCAACGAGTTGGCTTACCGATTGGGCACGTGACCGCATCGGTGAAGAGTTTTGCAAGAGTCATGGGAAACCAGGAGTGGGATTGATGTGGGTGCGACACTGCTCAAACGGTGGGAGATAAACCCCAGCGCTGGGGCCATTTTCGTCGATAGCAAGCAAATAGCGACAGGATTGAAACAAGTCTAGCACTGCCACAAAACTGCCACATTAAGCCTTATAAGGGCTTTATATGTTTTCGAGCTGTTGTTAAGGGCTACCCTTAGTCTTAAGTTAAGGGCTTAAGATGTTAAGGCCTTAACCCTTAACTGCAACACTGTACGCAACGGATGAGCGACAAAAGTAAGGAGCAAGGTGGTCACCAACATATGATTTGGTTAGAGAACAGCTCAGAATAGTTCTAGTCTGTTGTTAACCGCGCCACCGCGTATAGGTCGCGCCGTTATTATATAATCGTCGGAGTTTCAATTTAATATGCAACCACTCTGCCTTTCAGGTAGCTCTGGGTACAAACAATAAGAGAGAAGGTCTCTTTAATTCTCATTCCCAAGAGAACTGTGTCTCAAGAACTGTGAATCCGAACCCACCTCCGCCCAAATCATTTTCTCGGGCTGTTCCACTTGCCGGGCCATCAAATTCGGCATCAAGCTTCTGGAATTCTGCTACCACACGCTCGCTGAACAAGTTGGACTTTTCATCTGTCTAAGTGGGACCCAAGCCTCAATCCAAAGAAAACATGCCCCAAGACGTGTTTGAGTTTCGAAAATTGTGGTGATTATATAATAGCGACGCGACCGATCACTCGATCAACCTTACTGACAGACTATAACAAACGAGGTACGAGTTGAGAATGTTATAGCGTCTGTTTATAAGAGACTAGAATAGTTCTGAAGAGACGAGTTTATTATTGTCATGATCCGGAATTCTTTTCCGATATCCCGGGGTTCAACTCCGTTATTCTGGACTCAACCCCTCCACATCCCGATCGTAGGAACAACGATCGGTATTAATATTGCGCATTAACCCTATGTGTCCTGTTACCACAGACACCAAACCCCTAGTCCCCTATAAATCCCTTGGCGTTTGTATATAAACCCTGTACTATTCTACTATTCTCTATACTATTCTGGTCTATACTCCAGCTGCTTGTTTGCTTGTCCCCTTCACTCTGCTTTTCCCTTGTCCAGTCGCCTCAGTCGCGTTTCAAGAACCCGACGAGCCGCTGTGCTGACAAGTATGATGCGCTGGGAATGTCAGGAAAGTACTAACCTGGCTGTTTAAGTACGGCTCACGAGGGATTCATCTTGTAACTCTTTCGAGGATGAATGGTTTCTTTCTGCACGGTCTCGATTTGGAGAGGTTCAAGTTCTTGATCGGAGACTTGACACTGTGTACGAGTGTTAGTTACGGAAGCAAGCCTGATTCGGAATTAAACTTACCAGATCCATGACCGCACTCTCGTGAACTAGAAACAGAGACGTCAACCCCAATAACAATTGTAGCGCGCTTTGCGGCAGAGCCCACTAACAATTAACTGTTGTTCAAAAGTGCCAACCAGTTCCGTGAGCACCAAGAGTATTTCCTAAGCAACTCTCATCCACGGAAGGGACATAGCTTTGGCACTGGCCCCAAGTATGCTGAAGAAATTCATCACAAACTCTAAAAGACATCTGGGAACACCCCTGAAAAATGCTTTGAATAAGTTTCACATTTTCTGTGAACGAACATGCAGAAGACATTTAAAATTTATCTGTCTTCTCTTCTGTGCATGTTCAAGATATTCTGTGGCCATATACCCTGAAAACACAGGAAAGAGACCCTGGAAGATATCAGAGTATCCATTTTAATTCAATTTGGGTATGCTGCAGACGGTTATTGAAAAGTTATTTCTAAAGTCTTCAGCATATGTCCCCCTTGGACATCTGTGATATTTGGATAAACCTATTGTAAAGGCATCCACAACAAAAGCAAAAGATACTTTGAATGTGTGCCACATATTCTGTCCCACATTATGGACAAACCATTATGAATATGCTTCCACATTTCTGGGCAAGAACATGCAAAAGTTATTGTAAATACTTTCTCCATATTTTCTCGATGTTTGGCCACTAGTTATTTGGTTATCCTCCGTGTCTAACATCAGATTGCATCTGCTTGTACTGTCCCTTGTCGCTAGAATTACTGGCTCTGAGCACCGCATGTATTTCGCTTCGAATGAGAGGGAGGAAGGGACGTAGTGTACGGTGCACGGCTGCTATCGCTAGTCGAAAATTCTTTGCACAGCAGCAAGCCGGGGTTCAACTCCCCGTGTCTCCACTGTATTTGCGGATTTGTTTTTGTCAGGACCAATCCTAATTATAAGTGGTGATTTGCTAGTATTTTGGTTCAAATGGCAGGAAGAGAGGGGATGTGGTGTGCGGTGCACCGTTGCTATCAATAACTGTGGGTGAAAGGATCCAATCTTGACATGCAGCAAGCCGGGGTTTGACTCCGAGTCCCCGTGTCCCCATATCTATGCTCTTGATTTTTATCCGGGCTCAATCCAATTTACAAGCACTGATCTACTAGTACTGTGGTTCAAATGAGAAGGAGGGAAGGGACGTGGTGTACGGTGCACCGCTGCTATCAATGAATACGAATGAAAGAATCCAATCTTGACAAGCAGCACGCCGGGGTTCGACTCTTCGCGTCCCCATGCGAATTCATCATGCTGGTTTTTGCCCATGATCGGGCTTAATTCGTGATGGTTTATGTCGGTTCAAATGGGAGGGAGAGAAAGGACGTGGTGTATGGTGCACCGCTGCTATCGATGTCAGAATCCAATCTTGACAAGCAGCAAGCCGGGGTTCGACTCCCCGCGTCCCCATGCAATTTCCCCTTGCATTTTTTTGACAATGCTCGGGCCTAATTTGAGATGATTTATTTAGGCGGAAAAAAGGAAGGGATGTGGTGTACGGCACACCGCTGCTATCACTAGTCCGAAACCATTGAGGCAGCAAGCTGGAGATTGGTTCCCAGCGTTCACATGGGATGTGGACAATGTCCAAAGGTTCTTGTGGTTCCGCGGCTCAATCCTAATTTGAGATGATTTATTTGGCGGAAAAGAGAGGGAGAAAGGGGGTGTGGTGTACGGTGCACCGCTGCTATCAATGAATACGGGGGAAAGAATCCAATCTTAACAAGCAGCAAGCCGGGGTTCGACTCCCCGCGTCCCCGTGCGTTTAGCCTGTGCAGGTTCTTTTTGCCTAAGAATTGGCTGACGCTCCGCTTGCGCGGTCCGCACTCAGTAGATACTTAAAGCCTGGATTCAGATCCTGCGCGCAGCCGCGATTATTTGTATGCTTGGGCTGATCATTTCTTGCATTGACAAGTACATATCTGTAGGCTGTAGTCCAGGTGACACCGTACCCCTAGATGATTATCGAGAGCAGAGATGTTATTTATAAGTAGAGCTGGGACCGGAATAGCGCAGATTTCTGAAACGGCTGTAGCACTGAGCAGCGTGCGGAACTTGACGGAGCGGGATATCTATAGGGAGTCGGAGGACCGGAATAGCCTCGCAGAGTTTTTGAGACAAGGATACTTATTACTGGCTCATCCCTGAGCACCAAGAAAAATACATGGCCAACGCCAGGGGGTCCAGGGCCTCACCTCAGCGGAAGAGCGCGCCAACGCGTCCGATGGCGGGAAGAGGCGGGTTAGTCATGGGATCCGCGCCAAACACGCGTAACCACGCAACTGCCAGTGCACGTCACGCGCGGCCAGGACTGGATTCCTTCAATTCTGCTACCGCCGATTCTCTGATTATTCCCTGCTCCTCGTGGCTACACCCGGCTCCACGGACCCGAGTACCCCGAGCGTGCATCCGCCGCCCCGACTTTCCCCGGTCCGAGTCTTCCACGCACCTTGTGGGGACGGTGTTCTCCTTCTCCGGCCGAGTCTAGTGCAGCCTAATTAAAAATCCCAGCACCCTCCAAGGACACTTGAAACCCTCCTCGAAATCCCGCTAGCTCGATGGCGGACCCCGCGGCGGACCCCGGCGTGCGCATCGTCGTGACGCCTGCGCAGTCGTCCTACTTTGCCGGCGAGCCCTTCGCCGTCACCATCACATTCACCAACACCCGCGCCCCTGCGCCATCCCTTTCTCGCGTCAGCGCCACCCCAGCGCACGCGTATGGCAGGCACAAGCGCAACGAGCACTCGATCTCGTCCGTGCCGCTCGCGCGCCCGCCCACGTCGCCCGGCACGCCGCGCACCCCGTGAACCGCTGCCCCGCCACCCCCGCCTGCTTCGCGCGACGCCAGGCTTAAGGGGCTCATTGGGCGCACCGCTGCGTCGCCCGAGCCGGCGTCAGCAAGTGGGGCGTCAGCAAGTGCACCGCCAGTAAGCGCAAGCGGCAGCCTCCCCGCGCTGGTCGAGCTCCGCCCCCGCGTCTGCGTACCTATACGCGCAAAGCCCGATCGCCGCCGCGACCACGCGCAGACGGCCCTCGGTCTCGGGCACCCTTTATCCCCACTTCCCTCTTCTTCCACCTCTTCCCCGTACCCCTCCTCCACTGCATCCTCAACTGGGCGACACGACCCCACTGCGGCAGGACAAGGCCACGCCCCCAGCGACGAGCTCCTGCTCTACGCCTACGCGTCCCTCGTGGGCCGCGCCGTCCTCGCGCCCCTCCCGGGCGCGGCGACGCCCGCCCTCGCCTCGTCACAGGCCCAGCTTTTGCGCCCGCCGGCGCGGCACCGGCGCGCGAGCAGCTTCAGCGCGGGGCTGCGGACGCTCATGCGGGGACGGGGCGCTGGGTCCGCCTCCTCTCCGTCTTCCCCCAACTCCGCCTCGCCGTCAGCGGGTGGGGGGCAAGGAGGTCTGCGAGCCGCCGGGATAAGTGGGGCCCAAGAAGACGCCGACCCCGACGCACCGCTCCCGACGCTCGAGGTGCCGCCGGAGATGTTGGCCGTGGATTTGAGGCTCGCGGCAGGGGAGGAAAGGAGTTGTGAGTCTTGGTTTTTCTGTGATTTTTTTCTTTGTTTTCCGGGTACTTCGTTGCTTAAAAGGGGCGAGTCCCACTCCCACTCTTCTTGTATATACTCCTCTGCCGGCGCCTCGGCCGAGAACGCCGCGCTGGATCGGGCTCGGCGTTGTCATGACGTCACCCGCATCACTTCCCCCGTTCCTTCGCGCGTGACTGCGCCCAAATCAGAGAGCCGGGTCGTACAATATGTAGATATTTTCCTCGCGGAATATTATCTTGGGTCGGAGTTGAACGTTGAACCTCGAACCTCGAACGTTGAACTGCTTTGTTGGTAAGTTCTCCAACCGCTCGGACGCGGGTTTCGTCTCTCGACTTTCATCAAATGTTTATGATCCGCCTCCCCCGCTCCTCCCCCCTCTGCAATTTAGTGACCGAGAGCGGGACCGTACAGTACGTATTCGATGCCTCTCCTTGCGGAATATTAATACCTTGGGTCGGGATTGCACGTCGAACGTCGAACGTCGAACGCGAACGAGATCAAATCAGTTGGCAAGTCTTCCACATCCTATAATATATAGATGTTTTGCCCCGGAATATTAATACCTTTTGTCGGAATTGCACATCGGACATGAACGAGATCAAATGATCTGCTGGTAAGTCCTCCAAGAGCTCCGACGCGTACGGATTTGGGTCTGGGTTTCGGCTCTCGATTCGCGTGCTTCTTTTAGTATCGCTGTAAGCTGTTCGCTTGGTGTGCGCGCCTCATTTCCTTTCCTGTCCTTCCCCTTCCCCCGCTCCTTCCCCCTCCGGAATTTAGCGACCGAGAGCCGGACCGTACAATATGTATACTGTACTATTTCGACCGAAGGTTCAGTGGCAGGTGATATCTGATTTCTTTGATGTGTGTAAAAATCGCCTTAAATGAAAACAAAGTTTATCGGTCTCATCGGGTGAAAATAGATGAATCTTCGGTAAATAGCATAGTATCCCTTCCCCACGGAATATTAATACCTTGGGTCGGAATCACACGTCGGTACGTCGAACGTGAACGAGATCAATTCAGTTTGGCAAGCCTGTCCACTAAGAGCTCGTCCACATATTGGAGTGAAAGAAAAGATATGCAAGGCTCGGTGGCGGAGGGTCCGCCTCTGCAATAAAGTGCTACACCCGAGCTATGGCAGCTAGTATCAGCGTTATTTCCGCTTATATGATAATTCACGTCGTGGCGGCCCCAATGTGGCCCTAAACCAGTCAATTTCCAATGTGTCTACTGTGGTGGTTAGATACTTCCACCCAAGATGGTATGTTGGTCAGCCGACCGGAATCCCGGAAGAAGAACGGGCTGTAGGGTCTGCAAAGCCACACCCTCCACACCCTCCCAACACACATCATTGTGGTGTGGTCCGGTTGCTGTGAATCAGGGAAGTTGCTCTCCAATCACACAACTTGCACTGGTACCAGGGGAATGTCCTCAATCCTCCGAGTGATTTTCATCTCACCCGGTTGGTGAAATGAGATAAAATTGGTAGCCAATGAGTAACGGACATCCCACGGCACTCTAATAAAGGAGGGACCCGCCAACCTGCATCACTGAAACAATGCCTCCCCAGCCCAGTTCCACGCAAATCCGATTCGACCATGTGATCACATGCTTGAACGCCGCGCTTCCCACCATGGAAGCACTTTCAAAAAGTCTCAAGACACCCTTCTCGGAACTCATATCCAACACAATACAGTCCCTGTTGACTGCTGCTCAGGTAGATTTCCTGAAGGAATCTCCCTAAATTGAACCTCACGTAGTCGTCATGGCTCATAGACCATCAAGAAGAACAAGGATGCATGTACCCAAATGCTGGAGAAGATCCACACCCTGCTCTATGCCATAATCCATCTACACGTAACATCTGATACCGGGGCTGAATTACCTCCGGACACATGCAATAATTTGGCGAAATTCACTGAGAAAGTTCCTTCATATTCCAGTCCACTGTGGGTCCTTCCAACACTTGCACAGGACTTTGCACAAGATCCACACCTTATTTGAAGCACAGCAAGAAGAAAGCAGGATTAAGCAATTTTTTCGTCAAGGGGAAATGAAGACATTATCAAAAGCCTGTGATCTTGGACTCGAGCAAGCACTTGAGGTGTTCAAGGTGGATTGACTGTGAATATTAGAATCGTAATTTTTGAACATTATAATTTTACAGATTGACGGAACTGGTATTCTGCAGAAGGTGACAGATATGCAGAAATATGCAGATGAAACACACCAGAAAGTCTTGGAGTTGATTTCAGCCAATTCAGATGGACAGAGTTCTGATAGAGAATCCTTCGTGAGTGGTTCACAGAATTGTGAATACGGAAATCTTATTTTTCGGGCCGTGTAGATTAGCAGCATGCTTTCCATGAGCATGAACAGGTTGGTTTGTCCTCAGATTCCGGTCAAATATATCCTCATTGTCATCTAGCTCAAGTTCACTTTCGTTGCTGCCATCTGCCCCCAAGATATTCCATGGCCGGGAATCTGAAGTTTCAGCTATCATTCATGCCTTTGGGAAGAGTACACCAAGAATAGCAATATTAGGAGCTGGGGGAATGGGAAAGACTAGCCTAGCGAGAGCTGTTGTCCATCACTCTGAAATGTGTGCCAGGTACCAACAGCATCGGGTTTTTGTGGCCTGTGACACAGTATCAAGCACTCTTGAACTTTCTGCCCTGATTGGGGCACATCTAGGGCTGAAGTCGGGGAAGGACATCACCCAGCCAGTTATCCGCCATTTTGCTGATGGCCCCCCATCATTGCTCATCTTGGATAACCTGGAGACTGTCTGGGAACCAACAGAGTTGCGTCGGGAGGTTGAACAGTTCCTGTCCTTACTTACAGATATAGACCATTTGGCATTGATGGTAAGTAAGGCTTAAGTGCTGATTTCCATTGACTAACAGGCCATAGATCACAATGCGAGGTGCAGAACGGCCGGCCAATGTTCAGTGGACTCATCCATTCATGGCACCATTGGCACCTCTAACACAAGAAGCTGCACGAAAAACCATCGTTGACATAGTGGACGAAGGGTTTTCCATGAAGGACATTGACAAAGTCTTGGCCCTCGTGGATCACATGCCTCTGGCAATTGACCTCATTGCTCATTTGGTGGACTACGAAGGCCTCACTAGTGTATTGGATCGTTGGGAGACAGAAAAAACCTCACTTCTCTCCGAGGGCCATGACAAGGGATCAAATTTA